CACACATCCTCCCCCTAGACCTCAGGGTAGGCCCGAGGACCCACACCCTACCATCCTGTGAGAAAGAAAACACACACAAAAGTGAAAAGTGACAAATGTGCGAGATAAAATAAATTAAATAAATAAGTGGCCGTGCAGATTGTGCACTGGCCAGACCCTGAGGCCCGTAGGAAAAATTGCCCAAGACTTAGCCAAAAGGCCTAGCCCTAAAAGGCGCAGTGCAAGAAAAGTATTGAAACAGTGACCATGTGCCTTTTCACACGTTGGGGTCCCACACCCAAGTGTTACTAAGAGCACCCCTGAGGCGACCACTCTCAGGGGGCACTGGTTCGTGGACTTTCTGCCTCCCCGGCCCCTGGCCAGACAAGGTAGGTCCATTCAAACCAGGAGGAACTGGGCCCCTCCGGTATTCCAGGAGGAATTACTCCCGGGCCCCAGCAGCCTGTAGGCGCCTCGGTTTCTGTTCCAGCCTGTACTAACCATCAGGACCACCCATAGTACCAGCAAGGGTACTATACAACCAATCATCCCCGCAAGCAGGAATGATGGTGGAGCACCCCTACTAGACACTGATAAGAACAGATACTGCACTTGATCTTAGCCAAAAGGCTGAGAAGCAATGAATGCCTTTTATATTTATGGTCATTGAGAAGAATGCTCCTTACATTGGTGGCCAGTGGGAAGAATTACACTCATATCGTTGGTGGTCAGTGCGAAGAATGACACTTATGGGTGGCCAGTGAGAAGCATGTCCCTTATACTGAGACATTGGGATACAGAGCCTTCTGCTATGCCCCAAGACTCTAGAATTCACATCCAAAGAACATCAAAGAATCATCTTCTCTAAACTCATTCAAATCAAATCTAAAACATTTTTTCTTTAGACAAGCTTTCATGTAACTTTCCCTTTTTCTCCCCTCTTTTGTTTTATCCTGTGTATTTCTTGTGTTTTGTTTCTTTTGTCTTTGTAAAGTGCTTTAAGACGCTAGCTTTAAAGGCACTACATAAAATAAGGGTTACTATCATTATTTATTATATTGGTAGTCTGTGGGAAATATGCCCCTTATTTTGGTGGTTAGTGGTAAGAAAACACCTTAGATTGGGTGGTCACTGGGAAGAATGCTCTTTACCTTGGTAGACAATGGGAAGAATGCTCTTTACCTTGGTAGACAATGGGAAGAATGCTGTTTACCTTGGTGGACAATGGGAAGAATGCTTCTTACATTGGTGGTCAGTGGGGAAGAATCTCCCTTTCATTGGTGGTCAGTGGGAAGAATTACACTCATATCATTGGTGGTCAGTGCGAAGAATGACACTTATGGGGTGGCCAGTGAGAAGCATGTCCCTTATACTGAGACATTGGATACAGAGCCTTCTGCTATGCCCCAAGACTCTAGCATTCACATCCAAAGAACATCAAAGAATCATCTTCTCTAAACTCATTCAAATCAAATCTAAAACATTTTTTCTTTAGACAAGCTTTCATGTAACTTTCCCTTTTCTCCCCCTCTTTTGTTTTATCCTGTGTATTTCTTGTGTTTTGTTTCTTTTGTCTTTGTAAAGTGCTTTAAGACGCTAGCTTTAAAGGCACTACATAAAATAAGGTTTACTATCATTATTTATTATATTGGTAGTCTGTGGGAAATATGCCCCTTATTTTGGTGGTTAGTGGTAAGAAAACACCTTAGATTGGGTGGTCACTGGGAAGAATGCTCTTTACCTTGGTAGACAATGGGAAGAATGCTCTTTACCTTGGTAGACAATGGGAAGAATGCTGTTTACCTTGGTGGACAATGGGAAGAATGCTTCTTACATTGGTGGTCAGTGGGAAGAATCTCCCTTTCATTGGTGGTCAGTGGGAAGAATGTCCCATACATTGGTGGTCAGTGGGAAGAATACACCATAAAGTGTTGATTAGTGGGAAGAATCCTCCTTACATTGGTGGTCAGTGGGGATAATCTTCCTTACAATGGTGGTCAATGGGGAGAATGCTCCTTACATTGTTGATGAGTAGGAAGAATGTTCCTTACATTGGTGGTCAATGGTAGGAATGCTCCTTAAGTTGAAGGTCGGTGGGAAGAATTTCCCTTATATTGGTGTTCACTGGGAAAAAAATCCCCCCTTATGGATGGCTAAAAAAAATGTTTGCTAGGGTTACTGATTTTACTCATTATCAAATGTAATGATGAGACTTTTAGTAAGAATGTACAAAACTACCAGCGTGTGACAGCTTTACATTGATGATCATTGGAAGAGGGACCCTGTGGTCGGTGGGAGAAAAGCCCCAGAGAACTTGTGGTCATTGGGAAGAAAGCTTCTTACACTGGCAGTCATTGGGAAGAATGCCCCTTGCACTGGTGGTCAGTGGGAAGAATGTTCCTTACAATGGTGGTTAGTGGGTAGAATCCTCCTTACACTGGTGGTAAGTGGGAAGAATGTCCCTTACACTGGTGGTCAGTGGAAAGAATCCTCCTCACATTAGTGGTCAGTGGGAAGAATGCACCATACATTGAGGATCAGTGGGAATAATACTCTTTACATTGGTGGTTAATCGGGAGAATGCAGAAGAAGAGGGACCCTGTGGTCGGTGGGAGACAAGCCCCAGAGAACTTATAGTAATTGGGAAGAATGCTTCTTACACTGGTGATCAGTGGGAAGAATGTCCCGTACACTAGTGGTCAGTGGGAAGAATCCTCCTTACATTGTTGGTCAGTTGGGAGAATCTTCCTTACATTGGTGGTCAGTGGGGAAAATCTTCCTTACATTGGTGGTCAATGGGAAGAATGTCCTTTACAATGGTGGTCAGTGGGAAAAAATCCTCCTTACATTGGTGGTCCATGGGGAGAATGCTCCATACGTTGGTGATCAGTGGGAAGAATTTTCCTTACATTGCTGGTCCATGGGGAGAATGCACCTTACACTGGTGGTCAATGGGAAGAATCCTCCTTACATTGGTGGTCAGTGGGAAGAATGCACCATACATTGGGGATCAGTGGAAATAATACTCCTTACATTGGTGGTTAATCGGGAGAATGCAGAAGAAGAGGGACCCTGTGGTCAGTGGGAGACAAGCCCCAGAGAACTTGTAGTCATTGGGAAGAATGCTTCTTACATTGGCAGTCATTGGGAGCAATGTCCCTTACACTGGTGGTCAGAGGGAAGAATGCTCCATACACTGGTGGTCAGTGGGAAGAATGTCCTTTACAATGGTGGTCAGTATAGGAAGAATCATCCTTACATTGGTGGTCAATGGGAAGAATGTCCCTTACACTAGTGGTCAGTGGGAAGAATCCTCCTTACATTGGTGGTCAGTGGGGAGAATCTTACATTGGTGGTTAGTGGGGAGAATCTTCCTCACATTGGTGGTCAATGGGAAGAATGTCCTTTACAATGGTGGTCAGTGGGAAGAATGCACCTTACATTGATGATCAGTAGGAAGAATGTCCCTTACAATGGTGGTCAGTGGAAAGAATCCTCCTTACATTGGTGGTCCATGGGGAGATTTCTCCATACACTGGTGATCAGTGGGAAGAATTCTCATTACATTGGTGGTCCGAGAGGAGAATGCACCTTACAATGGTGGTCAGTGGGAAGAATGTCCCTTACAATGGTGGTCAGTGGGAAAAATCCTCCTTACATTGGTGATCAGTAGGAAGAATGTCCTTTACAATGGTGGTCAGTGGGAAAAATCCTCCTTACATTGGTGGTCAGTGGGGAGAATCTTACATTGGTGGTTAGTGGGGAGAATCTTCCTCACATTGGTGGTCAATGGGAAGAATGTCCTTTACAATGGTGGTCAGTGGGAAGAATGCACCTTACATTGATGATCAGTAGGAAGAATGTCCCTTACAATGGTGGTCAGTGGAAAGAATCCTCCTTACATTGGTGGTCCATGGGGAGAATGCTCCATACACTGGTGATCAGTGGGAAGAATTCTCCTTACATTGGTGGTCCATGGGGAGAATGCACCTTACATTGGTGGTCAGTGGGAAGAATTCTCCTTACATTGGTGGTCCATGGGGAGAATGCACCTTACATTGGTGGTCAGTGGGAAGAATGTCCCTTACAATGGTGGTTAGTGGGAAGAATCCTCCTTACACTGGTGGTCTGTGGGGACAATCTTCCTTACAGATGGCTAAAAAGAGCTAATAATTGTTAGTGGTTACTGTTTGTTTTAGAAGACATTGCTCATTACTCAAGGAACCCCTAGCAACTTCTGGGGGATCCCTAGTTGAGAAAGGTGGATTTAAATAATGGAAATAATGTTGTTTAATCATCTTTTTCAAAAATGTGAGGTACCAAGCCCGGTTTAGCCCTATTAGTCATCTCTAGCTCAGTATTTTTTTTATATGCCTTGTTCACCGAGGAATACATTAGCAGTGAGATGATGTCATTTGACTGATACACAAGAATCCTTGCATATACAGTCCATAAATGAAACCAGTCACCTAGCCTGAGCGGTCAGCCATATCCCTGACATGTCATCTATGTACCTGCTATATGCCCGACTCCTGGAGACTGTCTTCACGACACAGACTGCAGCTCTCCATAGACCAGCGATGGAAGTCATAGCAGCTCTGCATTCAGACGTGGTGTCTGTGCATGTAGCACGCAGCTCGCTGTGCCTTCACCTTGCATATATTACTGGAGCTGTCTGATCACATCCTTGATCTGCACATGAGTCGGAGGGGAATCCTGCTTCAGCAGCAGCTGTTGTCTCCATGGCTGGCCAGGAGCTGGAGAAAAGCAACGCATCCCTTCTCCCCACCGACCTCACCAAGCTGGCATCCCTGGGCATGATCGCCTGCGTCAGCCTGCTTGGCAATCTCCTGTTCGCCTTCATCACCCTGCGAGACCGGAGCCTTCACAGAGCCCCCTATTATCTCCTGCTGGATCTGTGCCTAGGCGACTTCATGCGCTCATTGCTTTGTTTCCCTCTGGTGCTGAAATCCATCAGCAGCGGCTCCCATTGGACCTACAGCAAGAGGAGCTGCAGGGTCATGGCCTTTGGCACGGTGTGCTCCTCTGCTTCCACGCCGCCTTTATGCTGCTGTCCATCAGCCTGACCAGGTACATGGCCATAGCCCACCATAGGTTCTACTGCAAGAAGATGAACGGCTGGGCATGTGCCCTGGTCATCTCCATGGCTTGGATCCTGTCCATGGCCATGGCCTTGCCTCCAGTCTTTGAGGTGGGCACCTACAAGTTCATCAGAGAAGAAGACCAGTGCACCTTTGAGCACCGTTATGTCAAAGCCAACGACAGCCTTGGCTTTCTGCTGATGTTGGCCTTCATCGTGGCTGCCACCCATTTTATCTACATGAAGCTTTTGTTCTTCATCTATGACCACCGGAAAATGAAGCCAGCTCAGTTGACCCCAGCCATCAGCCAAAACTGGAGCTTCCATGGGCCAGGGGCGGCTGGCCAAGCAGCTGCCAACTGGATTGCAGGTTTTGGAAGGGGACCCACACCACCCACCTTGGTGGGGATGAGGCAGAGCACCCAACATCAGATCAAGAGGCTGCTGGTGCTGGAGGAATTTAAGCAGGAGAAGAGGCTCTGCAAGATGTTCTATGTCATCACTTTTCTGTTCCTCCTTTTTTGGGGCCCCTACTTGGTGACTTGCTATCTGAGGATCTTCTCAAGAACCTCCTTGCCTCAGGGTTTCCTTACTGCTGCGGTGTGGCTGACGTTTGCTCAAGCAGGTGTGAACCCCATTGTGTCCTTCATGTTGAACAAAGAGCTCAGGATGTCTTTCAGGGCTCATCTGCCTTGCAGGAACACTCAGACCCAAAGGGAGCCCTATATCGACACCTAACTATTGGGAGCTCCTTATAGACACCTGGACTTGGGATATGCAAAGTTCTGGTTGCCATGGAGATCGAATGCCTCTTCAATTAGAGGCAACCAGGGTTTAGGTGAGACAATAGCAACGTTCAACTGTATCTTGCACTGATGATGTATTTGGGTGCTTTTCCCTGGCAAGGTGGCCCCAGTGTTATATGCAAGCAGCATTGTCTCAATGTAGAGCAGATCAGACAACATATTTAAATGGGAATAATTACCTTATAGTAATTTAAGTTGCTAATATACATGTTGCTGTTGGACACCTCCTGCTCCTGATGCTGACCTATCATTCATAAATATTCTTCTGGCAGGGTCACCCAGATGATGTAGAATAGGCACTGGATGCATATTGACATTAAAGTATAATGCATGTCCCAGATTTATCCAGGCATTTTATTTGAAGTTAATGATTGCTTTTGTTTTTGTTTGAGGGCCCAATTATTTTTTGTGCATGCTTTATTGCGCATTAGGTCACAGGTTAACGTGCATTGCATTAGTGGAGTCCATTGAAATCAATGGCTGCCAACAAACCGAAATGACCCAAATATCAGATATGTCACAAAATGTTTGCTGCAATGTGCTATGGTGGCATACGGCATTTTCCAGCACTGGTAGAATGCATTGCCATGTGTTCACAACAACTCATTGCATTGTGGTGCATAGGGGAATAAAAGGCCTTTTGCATTTTTGATATGTTGACCTGCATTTTTCCATGCAAGTCAGTTGATTGAGGTCCCTTATGTTGTGTAAAAATGCAGAACAGAGAGAGCAGCAGAATCACACATTAATGCGCACATGCCTATATTGTGAATCCGGTAAGGAAGGTATTAAAGTGTATGTTCAAACACCTGTTTAAAAAAATTTATGTTCAGACAGTTTTTTTTTTCTTGTTTCAAGTAGCGTGGGAAATAATTTGAACCCCTGTCTGGTTTTACTGCTGTACAGATCTCTTCTCATAAAGGTTTCATTAGGAAGTGAAGATAAATCTCCAAGGGCTACACAGTTTTTTTTGTTAGTATACCAGGGAAGTCTTAAACCCCAGTCAGACTTGTTTTCTGTAGATAGCTGTAAGGGCACTATACCAATGGAAATACAGTCTTGAATAAGAAATAAGAATAAGAAAGCCAACGTGTTTCAGGGGTTCATACACTCCTCCTTCATCAGGGATTGTGTTTTATGTCCTTCAGGAATGCTTGGGCTCAGAAAGGTTTGAAAGTGTTTGAAGATTTCCCATCCAATAACTTCTGGCTGTATTACCTGCTGGTGCTAGTACTGGATGTGAAATCTTTTTTGAGTCCCAACATTCCAGAAGCACATAACATACAAACCTTGAAAAGGGGAATTTAAGAATCCCTGAAGATTATTGGCTTTTTTGTCTTTTAATTTTTTAATAATAATCTATTCTGGACTCTATCTCCATTGGTTTGGCACACTAACTATCTACTGTATTTCCCTCAGCACCTCCTCTTTCTTTTGGGGGTCTTTGTTTTATGGCCATAGTCCTCATATTCAGCTCAACTAATAGGATGGTCATACGCAATAGTGACAATTAGCAATAGAGGATCTTAGAACCTCTTATGTATGCCCTCCAGATTTTTATTACTGTCTGTGTTACAGATTTTCCCTCACTTCCTGTTTGATGAAATCATTGTCAGCAAAACAGGAACAAGTCTCTTGAATAAAGTCAAGGGCTAGTCTCTTGAATAGTCATGGATAGTAGTAAAACCCAATAGTTGTTCTTACCATTCCCCTCTCTATCCAGAACTAAAACAAAAGTTTTGGCTGCAGAGGCACTTTAAAGGCATCTTTTTTTAACTATTGTTTTTTCTCTGGACTATTAAATGATGGTGTATATAATTTTTTATATGATTTATGATGATATTCATGAAGATATTCCTTAGTAGACATCACAAAGTTGGAGGTTCTGGGTACTGAGATTTGTACCTAGACGTGTTTTTTTTTTTTTTACAACGATCAGCATGCTAATGAAATCTTGATTTACAGTCAACGCTGACTGTTCATATTTTCACAGCTTTGTAAAATAACATTTTAAAGAATATATTTGTAATGTAGGAATTTTTTGGTACCATCCAGCTCCATAAATATCCCTTCATGGGGTTGTTGTGGCCAATAGAGTTTTTTGGACCAGCACTATTAATGCCTAGCTTGGATACTCAACAGCAGACGGGTTTTAACATTATTTTAAATGCTGTCAATGCTTTCATCATTGTGTAAAACTCTGCTTGAAATATAGACAATTAAATATTAAAAGCCACACAAAATTTGTGCTTGTTTTGTAACATCTTTTTTACTGTTCGCAAAAGGACTCTTCTTCCTTTATACATACTAAAAAAATGTACTATATAATGTAATGTAAATAGATTCCATTTTGAAAATGTGTAACCATTTATTGTAACAATTCATGTGCACAGAGGTTTCATCATTAGTGACTTTGTTTTGAAATATCTTATGGGATTTTTTTTTGATAAAAACAAAAAAATCTTTTCTTTTTTTTTTTGGGGGGGGGGGGGGGGTCAGGACAGTCGTTCTCAGCTAGGGCTCCTCCAGAAATTGCTAGGGGTTTATTGAACATTTCTTCTAGGGTGCAGGACAGCCTTTCTCAGCTAGGGCTCCTCCAGAAATTGCTAGGGGTTTATTGAACATTTCTAGGGGTTCAGGACAGCCTTTCTTAGCAAGGGCTCCTCCAGAAATTGCTAGGGATTTCTCAAACATTTATAGGGGTTCAGGACAGCCTTTCTCAACTTAGGTTCCCACAGAAATTGCTAGGGTTTCCTTCAGCATTGCCAAATTTTCAAGACAGCCTTTTTCAACCAGGATTCCATGGAAACCTAAGGTTCCTCTAGAACGTCCAAGGGGTTCCTTGAGCAATGAGCATCTTCTGCCTCTCAGTTGAGTAATCACTGACACCAACCATCTATTAGCTAACTGTGGGATTCTTCCCAATGACCACAAATGTAAGGAGCATTCTTCCTACTTATCATCACGCTAATATACAGTTAGCTATAGTTAGATATAGTGATTATTAGCTAAAACCTAAAACATTATTTCAAGGGTTCCTTTGCTCTGAAAAAGATCAGCTAGTTTGTAAATTAGCAATTGTCAGATTTTTGAAAATTAGACAAAATTGAGTCTTTATTTAGAGTTTTTTTAAACAGCTCTGACATTAGAAAATATAGAAAAAATGTTTAGGCTGGAATTGCGCTTTAAATATTATTATTATTGTACAGTATTTATGTAGTGCCAACAGTTTACGCAGCACTTTACAACATAAGGGCCGACAGTACAGTTACAATACAGATTAATACAGTAGGAATCAGAGGGCCCTGCTCAGTAGAGTTTACAATCTAAGATGGAAGGTCAAGAGATACAAAGGGTAAATATTGAACATTTTTAGCTTGCATTGAAGGATTGTAGCAAAATATTTCAGATAAAGCGGTGAGCCACTTAGAGCCTAAGGTTACACCAGCCTACCCTGACCGCTGTCACAGGAAAATGCAGCAAAAACACATGTAAATGTGGTACTGCATTTATATGTGTTTTTATGCGTTTTGTGGTTTCCTGTGGCCGGTGTTCAAAATATTCCTATCCTTCTTCTGCGTTCAGGAAAGGAAGGTTTAACCTTATCTAAATGTGGCAGCTCATAAACTGTGCTAAAAGCCTACACATAGGAGTTGATTTACTAAAGGCAAATAGACTGTGCACTTTGCAAAGTGCAGTTGCACTCTGAAAGAGCAGTTGCTCTAGAGCTTAGTAAATGAACAGAAAACTCTGCTGACTTCCATTATTCAATCATGTGTGAGCAAAAATGCTGTTTTTTTTTTCTTGCCCCTGACTGGGTATTCTTTGCAAAGTGAAGCATTACCTCATTTACTAAACTCTGGAGCAATTGCACTTACAGAGTGCAACTGCACTTTGCAAAAGTGCACACTCTATTTGCCTTTAGTAAATCAACCCCATAGGCTTTTATGGAGTTCATGAGCTTTGGGAGAAAAAGACAAAAAGCTCCTAAACTCAAGTTTAGGAGCTGCCAGTGTACATGAAGTCTAAAAAGGGTTTTAATTGTAAAGATCATGTTGCTAAAAGAGCTCTATTCATATTAATGCTGAACTATTGAGACAAAATGTACATATGCAGTGGGGCCCTCCAGGCTTGGAAAAGTTAAAGTTTTGACACAAAAAGTACACAAAAGGCTCTCAGGCTCCTTTGAATCTGTACATTTTTGCTGCTGCGATCCAAGTAGAGGATGGTTATGTTTGTTCTCTATGATCACACTGTACGTAGCTATCCTCTCTTGCTGACTCTAGAAATGGAGTAGGGTCTATGGGATTTGTAGTGTGCATAGAGTAGTGTATGTAACCCCAACTAACATGAAATGCATGTTTCAAACAATCAAAAGCGAAGGGGAAAGGAGAAATTAGGGAGCGCTTTACAAGGACACAGAAAAACACTAAGAGATGACTTCATGAAAAACAGATTTTAGGACCGTAAAGTAGTGAATGTCTATGGATTATATTTAGAGAATAAGCATATCTTTCAATGTCACTTTAAACACTTGTTTAGTCTAGGGTTGCATTGAACTCCAGGCTGTGGGTGGTTCCTTGGCATCATCAGATACAGTGCAGGGCTATGAACCCTGCAATGTACATGATGGGTCATGCCTGCAGCCATGGCCCGAAGCTGTTTAGAGATTATGCTTCAGGGGACTACCATATGGATTGATGCCAGAGCCAGAATAAAGGTGGGAAATACATCTTATCCCTGTACCACTAGACTAAAAGGAGAATTTAATCCTTGCAGTGTAAGGGGCTCCCAAATAAAGGGTAGATTGCAGCTAATTCCCAGATTTCATCTTTAGGTAACCCCTTGTGATATGAGATCTTCTAAGGAAAAAGA